GGAAGTAGCTGGTATACCTTGGCATGTGCTGGAACCCTGCTGGAAGGATTGGATGGTCAGGTGACCTGCTGTGCATGGCTGTGCATGACCTCATATGACCTCATCCTTGGTCATATGACCTGATCACCTGACTAGGCTGAGTAAGCAAGATGTTCTAGCAGGTTCCACCACAGAGGTATAAATATAAGGCCTACTCTGCCTGGGACTGTCTCTTCAGACTTGGTCTCTTAGGATCATCCACAGATACCTATACTGTAGATAGGTCTTAGTCATCAGGTCTACTCCACTTCCTTGTTGCCTGCTTAGACTCTTGGCACTCTTAGGTGAGCAGACTTAGTCAGCCTGTGTTGCCCTAACATTAAGGTGCTTGAAAAGTCAATGCTTCTGGAGGATACAGAGGATCATGAGGTGAGCAGTGTTGCTGGACTGATGTGTGTCTGAACTGATGTATCCTCAGCACTTCCTATACCTGTGGCATCCCTGGGGAGGTCCATGGACAAAGGAGGATCTCCAATGCTGGCTGGAATCAGAGGAGGGTGTGGGGTTGTTGATGTGGAGGGTATGGCTTGCTGATATGGAATGAGCAGGGTCATTCTGTGTTGGTGCTTTGGGCCACCATGAACAGTTCATCAGAGGATTGCTTTGACTACTGAAACACAGTCATGGCTGATGTCTCATCATCATATCTCTCAAATGAAAATCTGCCTTTCAGGAGAGAATTCAAAAGCAGAATCAGCACTGCTCTTCAATATGCATTGATGTACTGTGGTCACCACCTGTTACACTCCACAGAGGGATTCAAAGTGGAAGAAGAAGTGGATGGCTTGATGAACTGTCAGGCTCCTGTTCTGGTTGGAGCTTGGCTCTCCAACAAATATGCTGGTTCGAGTCACAGGGTGTATTGAGTATGCAAGAAGACAGATGCATGTAGGTCTCACTTGTCACCAAACCATGATATGTTGCTGAGATGATCTAGGTGGCCATCCTGGCTGAAATGGCCAATGATATGCTGAAGTTCATCCAGAGCCATGGCCACATGATGTTAAGATGTGCCCCACCCATCTATCTATTGATCTGCCTTGGTATGGATGCCTTCAGAATCTGCACTCAGACGTTTTTATGCCAGATGTTTTCAGGGAAAGGCTATGTGCAATTTAGAGAGCACCGGATGGGTTTGTTTTGTCATAGAGGGACACAACTTCTGGGTGAACTCTGTCATGTTCTCACCCCATGGTTCTCAAATTGTGTCTGGTTCACACAACAATACAAACAAGGTGTGGAACATGCAGATGGGTGCTGCGATCAGCCTACCAATGGAGGGCCACACAAGCATTGTCTATTCTGTCATGTTCTTGCCCAACAGCTCTCAAATCGTGTCTGGTGCAGGCAACAAGACAATCAGGCTATGGCATAATGCTGACAATCCTCCAAATAGTGCCATGGTGGACTGCTCCTTGACCAACCCAACCAATCACTCAAATCAACTTGAGCTGCTCTGTTACCCCTCAGCATCTTCCTCCTCTAGTCTGGTATGTGGTGCTCATGGTCAATCTTCACAATTGCCTGTTGGTTTCTTGGGTCCAGAGAGCAAGTCATTGACAGCTCTGGTCGAGGGTGCAAAAGGTGACCTGATGCTTTGATATGATCCACACTGGTTTGGCTGCAGTCAAGGCAGGGCTTGACTCTGTCCCCTCTGGAAGAGCACCAGGCACAACAACCATATGGCTGTGAAGAGCTGAACTGCCAGTGCATGACTATTGAGTGGGAGACTGGATGGATCATGGGGCACAGAAAGGACCATCTTTTCTGGGTACCTCCAGACAAAACCTGACAATTGTACAATGGAAGACAACTTCTGGTCATACTGGGTCCCACAATCCATATTGATCTCAGTCGCTTTGTGCATGGGACAAGATGGGTCAAATGATTTTCTTCAGATGTTGTGGATGATTGAGTATGCTGGTGGTGTAGGAGATAGAGGTAGATTGACAGTCCAACTGAAATGATTATTTTGCAGTGGTTAATACAGCATCCATTACCTGCTCTGGCTGGCAGCAGTATATTGGCCAATTAACACCGGGGCAGTGTCACCTGGGCCATTGGCTGGACAGAATTGTTTTGTAAATGTATTGTCCTTTGCCCACTTGCTACAATGCTGCTGATGGCTACATAACAACCCGCTGGGACTGGCTTTCGAGAGTGCTGCAGCAGTCAAGATGGTAACATATCCCTCATATGAATTCAAGCTATCCTCCAGAGATTCATGCTTGATTCCACTCAGCACTGCATGGTCCTCATCATCTTCCTCAGGATGCAAATCCATGTACTTTGCCACACCAGCCCAGTGAGTGACAATGGCACAAGACTGGTGAATTGCAAGCAGTATTGGCAGAGGAGCAGGGAAGTCTGGGTAGTCTGATGTCAAGTCAATGGTCACATTGCCCATCTCATATTCACAAAGAGTCTTCAGTGTGTATTTGTTTGGAGTTCCCTATCAAGGTATCAGTTGAGTTGATGTTAGAGGAGAAACACTGCAATTTGAAACATACCTGAGGTTGTAGGTAGCAGCAGAGCTGATCGAACTGCTCATGCCAAAGAAAAGTGCCCATAAAAATGTTCTCAAGCCAGTGGATCTGTGGCCTGTAAAGATACATCAGCAGTTCAATATTGTCTGTCATCCGAGCCAAGACAGCCATGCAGGTGCCGGTCCACTCACACTGAATTGCCTGTTATACCCTGCATGGGTCTGGAGGCATTGCACTCACCTTGTCATCATTGTGCTGCCTACTGATGAAGCCTTGTGGAATGATGTGACAGAGTTTTGTGTTTGCCCTCATAGAAATGGAGCTGTTGCTGGCCAGAGTTGCGACCAAGCCAGCTTTGATTGAAACTTTTTGTTGACATATCCATTGAAAATACAACAAAATCAGTCACACTTAAGTGCCTGAGAACCTTCAGCAGGCCTAACAACTGAGCAGGCTCACGAACACATACCTTAGCTTTGCTCAATTCATGGCTTTTTGGCACTGATTCTGACATCATGGGATAGAAGTCTGCCTGATCTTCAAAGGATGGTCGAGATGGATGCAGGGATGGGGCTGGAGGACCAGCTCGCTTGACTGCAAAAGGACAATGTTTTAAGCATGACAGATATCAAGGTTCTTGATTGGATGTACAGATCCCAATAAAATGCTGCCACCACATTTCCCCTAGTTCCAGGACCACCTCCTTCTGGTTCTCTGTCAGGGGACATCTAATTTGCTTTGACTACAGCTTACTCAGGCCTGATTACTCATGCTGCATCAACCTGACACCAGCTATGCCAGTGCTGTGTGGCCTGTGGACTGGCTGTGGTAGGACCATGTGGCATTGCGCAGCATGACAGCCAATGACTGGCCACCAGCCAGTGACTCATAGTGACTTGGCCTATGACTCACCACAACTGGCCAGAGATGACCTGCCACAACTCACCATGACTAGATGCTTTCCTCCTTCTCTTTAGTATAAATACCCACCTGTTTAGATGATGATATCCTCAGATCTGGTCTCTGAGGAATCTCCACTGTACTTTGATAAGGATAGTACTCTGCAGAATATATCTCTGTCACCTCATCAGCACCTTATCCCACCTCTCGACGACAACTTCCTCTCTCCACTTGACTTTGATCTCTACTACATCTGGGCAGCCTCTGTCAATTATAGTGTGCCCTCACATTATCACAGCTGTTGATTTGGACAGCAATATCTCTGCGTGCAGTAGGCACTGGTGGATAGACTAGAAACCAGCTGAGGATGTGCACTCGGATCAAATCCTTCTTTTGGCATGGTTGCATAAGCCCTGGACGGCAACACATGTCCTGTATGCCTGTGTCTGATCATTGTCAAAGTGAGCTGGAGCCTCTTGAGCCAGTGCGAGAGGATAGGTTGGAAAGTCCATGTTGACTGGTCTTGGTTCAATGTTGTTGTGAGTTGCAGTGAGTGACAAGACAGGACAGGCTGGTCTGTTTCCGTCAAGTGGAAGACCCTGTGGATAATACACACTGGATTTGACACCGGAGTTTGTTCAGCCCTGTCAGGGCACACCATTGAGTGGAGGCCAAACACAAAGGTTTCAGGCAAAGCTGCAACCTATTGGGGTGACCTGACTGCCAAACAACCACTAATCATCTGAAAGCCTGACATCAGACCTCTTGGTGGTCCTTGCATGCCTGCTTCAGGATCTCTCATGGTATTGGCCATGTCAGCCACATGGAGTAGTGAGGGTGGTATGGGAAGAGGGTTGATTACCCCAATACATCAACAATTGACCATGCTCAGCATGTCACACAAGTCAGTACAGGAGAATCGGAAATGGTAGTAGGGGGGGGTTGTTGTAGTCAACCAGTATCAAGGTCAAACCACAAGGTATTGGAGTTGTAGATGACCAATCATGTTGACATTGGACTCAGGCAGAATGAAGCCATGGCTTTGGAAGTTGGTGGAGGTATTGCACATGTATCAGTGGGAGGGGATGGGATCTCGATGGTAACCCTTTGTTGATCAGGCAGAATCGAGGGGATGTCAGATGGGGAGGAGTCCAGAGTTGCCTGTCACCTAGACTCAGGCAGCATAGTGCAATGCCAGCAGAATTGGTATGGACATTGGGCAATTGGGGTGAGCCATCAGGGGTGTAGTCAGGGGTTCAGTTGCTTGTTGATGAGAACCTTGCCAAAAGAAGGGGTGTTGGGGTTGCCTCATGAGCCTTTGGAGAGATCAAGCATAGGTTGGACCTCTCAGCTCTAGGAGAGTGGCCTGTCAGCAGAGACTTTGGATACATCAGTACCAGTCATCCGGAAGTCTTGGCTGGAGCACAGCCTTTGGAGGGTACAACAAAGGGTCAGGGTGTGTCGCCAGGTTATCAAGTACCTCGGTCTTACTACCTGAGGTCAATCAACATGATCATGGACAGTTCACCTCCTTTGAGGGAGATTGGTGTTTTGGGTCATACTAGACAGTGGGATTCCTGAGAGACCAAATCTGAGGCTTCTGTGCCCTCAGACCGGTGCCTACATATATGTTAGGGCAACACAGGCTGACTAAGTCTGCTCACCTAAGAGTGCCAAGAGTCTAAGCAGGCAACAAGGAAGTGGAGTAGACCTGATGACTAAGACCTATCTACAGTATAGGTATCTGTGGATGATCCTAAGAGACCAAGTCTGAAGAGACAGTCCCAGGCAGAGTAGGCCTTATATTTATACCTCTGTGGTGGAACCTGCTAGAACATCTTGCTTACTCAGCCTAGTCAGGTGATCAGGTCATATGACCAAGGATGAGGTCATATGAGGTCATGCACAGCCATGCACAGCAGGTCACCTGACCATCCAATCCTTCCAGCAGGTTCCAGCACATGCCAAGGTATACCAGCTACTTCCATGTCATAAAGGCTTAGTCA